ATCAGTCCGAGCAGCGTTTATTTATTTATGATAGTAAAGTGTTTGACGTGAGTTTAACTGAAAGTGAATGTTAAATTTACTGGAAGTGTGAAGATCAAAGATCACTAGGAAACACCATATCAGACTGTTTGCTGACTGAGTCGAGAACGGAATAACGCGTGTTGTGCATACAACTTGTTGTATGGCATGCTTAGACGAAGCTGAGCCTGATGCAGTGATAGTGCCAAGAGTGACAGAGAAAGTTTCAAAACGAAGAATGCATTCAAAAACAAACTGTGAAAGCTGGGATGATTACTATGAATACCATTATCTTAGGAGCAGAGGATTAAATTCGGGTAGCAAAGTTTTCAAGCGAGCTACCGATCATTGAACCTGACATCATGACCGATTTGAAAGAAGTGTCTGCACGACATTTCAAAGAAACCAGAGTGTCCACTGATGTGATGATAGAAGTGGCTCCCATAAAACCTTTTGAAATTAATTTTTCGACATGGCTGCAAACATAGCATAGAGTAATTCGTACTAGAAATATTGTTTTTACAGCAATAGGTTTCAGTAAGTTATCGTTGTTTAAAGTAAGTCTATGAACACGGGTCAAGTCCGGGGATCGTATTCAGCGGTTATCCAACTGTAATTTCTTCAAATTCAGCCATAGAGAATTGGAATCAGTAATAAGGCAATGAATTTTGTAAAACTAGGTACTCTTGACTGGGTTTTAATCTTTATTTGGCAAATGTTCATTAGTATATTCAGTTGTATTCGCGAGTTTTGTTGTAGCTCATTAAACAGTTTTGAATCAATGAACAGTCATTTCATTGCAGCTGTGTTTTTGTATTTGTGCATTGAATAGTGCATCGTCTACCACAACGCTTTAATCAATGTTTTGAACACGTTTATGTCAAATATCTTCTATATGTATATCATTTTGTACCACTCTATTCTTCTATCAATTGGTGAAATATTCAAAGCAGGCAATCTCTCCTAGTGATTGAGATGATTGAGGGGAACTATTATTTTGTTTGTGTGGCTTTTCAGACATGCTCTTTTTCAGATTTCAAGATGCAGCTGTTTCAAAGATTTCATGAAGTATTTATCCCTAGATTTCTAAAGTTCTATAGATTTAACCACACTAGCTTTGAAGTTTTTTACATATATAACCACCAAAATGTATTGCTTATCTGAATTTGTCGTTAAGTTCATCCTCAGATGAAGTGATATAATTAGTTTGTTGAATGAATTATCTCCTTTGACCATATTAGATTTCTCTTTTATTAGTTAACCTTATGTTAACCTGGTTGTTATAGTTGTAGTTCAGTGACATCATGCCTATCATTGGTTTCATTATACGATTATCACCCACAAAGAATGAAATACATATTTATTTATATTTATGTTCATATGTAATTTGGATTACAAAATAGCTAGGTCAAATCATTGCATAACAAATGACTTCAGTATGATGTGAAATACAGATGCATAACTTATATAACTCTAACACTAATTCCAAGACGTGCAACTATTATATATCATTATGGTGTTTGCGTAATCTAGCTGCATACCTTACCCAACAATAACGCTAATACTAAGACTGGGTAGATATGCGTAGGTGCTATGTAATTTTACTGAATACACACATGGCAATCTTCTTTTTGGCAACACTGGTTTCTGTGCCAACTAACAGTGTGCTGGCATTTCACTGTAGAAATTAGCTCCTCCTTTATGAAAAATGTCTAATAATAGCACATATGATAATAACACATATACAAATGAAATGCACATCATTCAGACTGTCCATGTGTAATATTTATTTGAAAGTAATCTGTACAAGTGTGTGTGTGTGTGGGGGGGGGGGACAGATTCCCATAAAGGCGAACGACATAGTGTATCATAATGTTACACCCAGGTAATAGTTAACATCCATGTTTAATTCACATCATCGTATCATCAATGTATGCTCAATTCTCACAGTATATCGTCATAAAGTGTTGGAGTAGTTTTATGACGTCATATGGGTGGATGCAATGTCGTTCAAATTGACCACCGCTGCGTTTGGTTGTGTAATAGTTTTCATCTAGAATATAGTAAAATTTCTCTAAAAAAATACTCATCACTGATGTACAACTATATTATATCAAGACGATACTGTCACTTTCAACGGCCTTTGTGTAGCCCATTTACGTCATAGAAACCTTTGGTCACCAGAGGGCGCGATCTCTACGGAAAAGTGTATTGTGCATGATGACAATTTACTGTAAACGATGCAACTCGTTTCACGTTGGTAAAATGAATAGTCTAGTTATATATATAACAATCTTTGTTTTGTCCTGCCCTCGAACTTTCCCGGAATGATCGGCTCGTTATCTATTTTCTAAAAATTCCGAATTTATTGTGCATGAATTTTCACAAACATACTCAAATAGGTTTATATATGTAACACGCCGTTCTTTCAGATATTAATGGAAATGTCCCTTTGAATAAATATACTTTAACACTGTAGTATAGTTAGTTCATGTGCAATTTAAGCAGTGTAACTATAAATGGGTCTATTGTCGATCGCCGTTTTTGTTGTTTATCTATTTCGTTCGATTTGGGACGGGGACTGCTGCTCTTGGCGACGTTGCTCGTATCAGCAATACAGAACGGTAACACAATGCCACATAAAAGAAACCATTACGAATTACCAAAAAAGGTAATCGGCATTATATGTGAGATGAATCCTGTTATATGAAAACATTGCCATTGAATAGAAAAAGATTTCAATATTGTTGTACTGTGTTAAGAACTAACTAGTTTATTTTCCTTACATTCAATTCAAAACAATAATACGATAACTGTAACAATAGGACAATCCGAGCTTGCAATAACAATGTTAAATTGGCACTGTTGGTGATTCTCTAACAATACTGGCTTACATAGTTATATTTGCATATAAAATAACTAAAAATATTATTTTGTATGTCCATCGTCCATAATAAAGCCGCATAGTAAAATCAGGTGGCTAAACAAACTTTATTTCAGGATAAGTGTACATATCAAAAATACAATATTCCATATCAGAAGACACTTATAAAAAACGACAATTATTTAAAAAAAATGTTCATATGTCTATGCAAGACATGGAATTTGGAAAGATGTACGTATCTAAGATGAACTAATTTTAGAATTGTGCTACTGATATTTGCAATCGCACATGAAATTTATACATTAAGTTGTATGTGAGTCCCTCGAAATGTTATTATTAGAATGTTATTATAAACACATATACCTTCGGCGCTACAGACTCTAGCAAAACCCATAACAATGAAGAAAATGTTATTATATGCAATGCAACTTATAATTTTTTGGTGAAATTCTACCATAAATGGAACCAATACACGTTAGTACAAAAAGTGCATTTTGAAAATTTAAGGAGGAGTACATTAATCAGCATATGCATAAAATGATCGCGCCGAACACGTAATGTCAAGATCATCAGAAAAAATGTTCTATCTTATGAAACAAGCCACATAAGTCGTGTCTTTAGTACACACTATACATATTTCTTTGTTTGTTTCTTCGAACGTTGCTTAACGGCGACACGAATGACAACAGCCATTATAGTGAAAATGAAAAATGCAGCGACAAAATAAAGTTCGATATCATTGTACGATACCATCATCGTCGTCGCCGTCGTCGTTTGACCAAGTGCAACCATTGTGGCGGAAACAGACACGATATTGGAAAGCTCGGCGTGCTGCCCATTGTTATCGACAGCTATAATGGCCAGGTAATATGACAAGTTATAGTCCTGTGAAGCTTGGTGTATATATAAAGTTACTGTCTGCAAATTGCCAGATAGAAGTGGCGACAACAGCGTTCCATCAGTTAAGTTCACGTCTGTCACCTTTATGGCACTGTAGAAGTCAGTTAATAATTCCGAAAACGATGTGCTCATGCGCAGATCATAATAAGCCGCTGAGAATAACAAAAATAGTTATATTACTGATGAGAAATAATAGGATCGTTGTGTTATAGTAGAGCGTAGTATTACATATATCACATACATATATGTTCGATTCTTCATCAAGTAACTTCCATACGTACACCCATATGGATTGACCAGTGTGTTTGCCATCACTCGTACGAAATCATAGCAACTTGACGTACCTGTTCCCTGGACCAAATCATCACAAGGTAACATCACTGACACATAGCATTCTCAATACCCAATTCATACTTTGACCGTGTGACGTACGTACCTGTTCCCTGGTCCAGATCATCGCCAGGTGACGTCCAGCTCAATTGAACTTCGTTTACCACAGCATAACTGCTTATTCTGAGATTCGCAATTCTAGATGGCGGGAAGTGGTCTGTCTTGAGATAACGCTTACCAATCACCACGTGGTCGCCAAGCTGTATAACTCCGGCTGAGTCGGTGCGGTCGAAATTGCCGACAGGCGTGTATGATGCTGATCTTGTGAATAACATTGCTGAAATGAACACAATTATGTAAAGTCACGATCCATCACGTAAAGTTTACATATTATAATACTCATTTAGCAAAGTCACATAGTATCGCATTATTTACAAATATTTCTGACAAATCGTTTCCTGGCCCTCATTATTTTTTTTTGAGATTTCCTATGACGGCATCACCTAGTTTTAACTCGCTATAAAATATTTAAAAAATTTTAAACTCAGTGACTACTTACTATTATTAGTTGCCATGGCGCCACTCTGTTGAGAGAATGTCTGGATTGCAGTATGTGCATTACTATTGTTGGCTTGTATCTTGACAGAATATCTGCACACAGTGACACAGTCATCGGTGTTGACAAAATCCAAGAAGTACGCAGAGTACACACCATCGTTTTCCAAAATATCTGCGCCTGAATCCAAGCAAGCACGGCTCACGTGAATATGACAGGATATGATTGGATAGGATGGGAATTGGATATTCTCGGGGGCGGAGCTACGTCACAGACGTTCCACGTTGCTAAGACGCGCACCACTGTACCATGCATTTCTATGGGCTCTGTGCGCGCTGCTGTGGAACGCTGGTCGAGCCGGTGAAAATTCGAGAAAACAACACAAACTCAACTTTGAAGTAATCCCGAACAACCAAATTTATATATGTTACACACGTAGGGCTAATCTTGTTACACTGTTCAGGGGACTCTCAACAACCATCGCAAAGTACCGTTTTCTGTGAGTTTTTGGTCGTTGTTTTCACCGCCGCGGGTTGCCAGGCGGTGAAAATGCCCGGATGTCCGCCCCGAGGATATAATAGAATATGATATACAGATTACGCAAAGTCCAACAAACAATAATACAAACCAAACAAACTAAAACAATTCTAGAATATCAAAAACAAATTGTGCCAAATAATTAATAATAAAAAAATGAAAAAAGGAAACAATTAATCATTGCCAAGGCTTTAAAGGCTAGGGACATGAATAAATAAAGCATCGAAGAAGTTTTCTTGGACATATTGACATATTGTTTTTAATATTTCAAACGTATTTAAATTAATTGAACAGTATGAGACATTTCAGTATTATACTGTTAAGTGACGCATTATATTTGAAAGTGTTTTGTGGCGTACCGCAAAATTGTCCACGTAAAGAAATAGAACGTCTTATAATAGTGTTCTCAACATATTAATCATGTATAGCGCAAGATACCGTGTCGATGTACGATTTATATCAAAGTATTATTTTTATATTCATTCCAAGAACATATCTTTACGTTACGACAAAACCACACAATAACACAATTGAGAGAAGCGTGCTGGACGTGAATTGCATTTACTTACCTCCACCGCTGTCTAGTAGTGGTAAAGTTACACCGCTCCTTACTTCCTGGTCTTTCGATAGTGGCCACAACGTTCGCGTATAGGACAGGCAGGTGACCCTGACTTAACTCAGCATATACCGCAGTTTTGGCTGGTGTTTCCACAATAATCGGGAAATCAATGATCGATGTCAATTGTATTGGTCCTTTCGTCATATCGATTGCTTTCGATTCCACGGAGATCTCTACGGGCCTGTCCTGTTTGTCGGCATTTCGGATTGCATACACCCAAGCACCAACCTAAAATAAACACCGCCAAGCATGAGCCGAGTTTGATTTGTTTGTAAACTGGTTTTACCGCTTTACCACTATAATCGTTTAATTGCTATGAATATATAGATGTCTTACGCATGTATTGAAAATCAACTCAACACTAGTCGCACTCCGCCGACTCTAAAGGGATAATCGAGAAGAAGCTGACCAGATGGAATGTATCAAGAAGGGAAAAACAAGAAACTAACCTCGCACGCGAAACATTCAAAAAAGAGGTGTCTGTTTGAAATGCCATGGTAAAACTTTCGCAGAGAGAGCTCAAACCTTCTTGTCGCGTGGACATGGTATATTTCAACTATGTAGATTTCTTCTTAGAAGATAATCGTGGTGGAGCAATACATATACATCGTATGCGTTCCCAACAGCACAAAACCCGCAATCGAAACATGCATTTCTGCATTTATATATTCAAATATAAAAGCGTTTGCTAACCTTGGCAATCCCTTTCAAGCGTATCGTGATTGTTTTTGTCCTTCTCTCATAATTATACTCTATCGAATCTTTGTTAATCACCACATCCCCTGACGGTGACGTCAGCTCCACTGTCACGGCATCGTTGGGCGTGCTGAACTCCCGCATGAAGAAGTGGAACTTGGTTTCTAAACCAACAGTGGAGTCAATGTGAACACTGCCCTCTATAGTCCCTGAAGCGGGTACGGACAGAACTTCACTCGATACCTATGATGTTAACAAAAAAAGACATTACTATGATCGATGAATACGCAAAATGTGTATATATCCAATTGCGTGTGCATCACGTTCATTTAAAACAAAAAGCCTTGTCAAAAAAATTGCACCACTTATGTTTTTAATAATAACACGTAATAACTGGAAACATGCGTTGTTGTACAATTGATTCTATTGTGTAAAGTTATCGCTGTGCAGATTAAAATGACATTGATTGACAAGTTTATTGTATACTTTAAAATTGACATTGTCATTTAATATTGCTCTATTCGTCATCGTGGTAAATATTTCATATTTTCAAGTGGGCAAGGTGACGTAACGTACTCAGTAATTCGGTGACGTTGGTATATTTATATTCACTGGATGGCGCAAATATATAAATACACTTACTTGTACCAATGTAGCGGTATTGGTTGCTTCTCTGTGAGTGAAACTAGAAGTAAAGGAATCATGAAGCGCTGTCGTCTTCGATGATTCCGAGTAGTAGTACGATCTACCACCTGTCTTTGCTGAGAGCGTCGCTAATTGTGGATCTGCTTCATCGCCCAGTGCCAGTGTGTCTATGATAATTCCACTATCGGATATATTACCAATTACATCTTTTATAAGAGGTGCATAGTTTTCCATCCCGTCTGATATTAAGAAGAGTCTCCCTCCTTCAGTACCCTCACTACTGTCATCGAGAACCTGACATGAACATAAGTGGGCGCTAACTAAATGTGGACTACCATTATAAGATTTATATGATGAGAGCACGCAAGTGGGATGAAATACGAAATCACACGCAAACATAGATTTCTAGAAATACTAAATGGATCAATTTCCCGCAGTTGTTGTTGTCTAAAAAAAATTACTACAAAAAGTCTTATGATCTGTGTTCGTCTTTTGGTGAAGACAATCTACCAAATGAGGAATAGAAAGATGCGTTTGTTTCAAAGACACTAAGCTCAGTACCAGCCCCCCCCCAGTATCCCATCAGCTCTGCAATGACCGCACTGATTGTCGGTGATAGGACTGGAGCATAGTGCTTGCTAGGATTTCAAAGAACGCGGCTGCCGCGGGGTGAGCAGACCCCTCAGAGACGAAAACATGCCAAAAACACTAACGGAATGTGCTATTTTACTTTGCAGCAATACGTGCCACGCACAATGTTTTTTCCGATGTTTTTCTGAGGGACAGACGAATGCATTGCACATGTTTATCTCTATTCCCAGGTAAGTTAGACATTGAAAATTCCCCATGATAATTACAAATACCAGTGACCGCACAAGTTTGGAGTTTTGCAAGTTTGACTGCTTTGAGTTGGTCAATTGGACTTTGCACTTGCTAAATCATGGTCACGTGACGTATATGACGTATAAACCATGCGTAAGTGGTTTAGTAATAGCTAATAATGGTCACGTGATAGTTACGCCACATAAACTGTAATCCATTAAATGACCATGATTTAACCAATTAGGCTGTTGTGGATGGGAGTCTTTTGGCCAATCAGTAAGTTTATTTTAAATAGTACGCCATAATAATAAGGTTAGAGCACATAACAACGACAATTCAAGAACGCCCATTGGTCGATGCGAGACAGTGGTGCTGCATCCTAGTTATTGCAAGGGGTGAAAGATCAAAGTACCGACGAGTTCGAACATGCGTGTATATCGCCATAGTGTAAACATGTTGCACCTTGGCACTTGATGGGTACGACAGTGGGCGCGATGACAGGAAATAATGAAACACTATTATATAGGCAGAAGCAGGCCACGCGGTTCTCTCGCTCCTAACCAATTTCCATTTAAAGTTAATTATTTAGAAATATTGAAATAAATTAGACACATATCACTTCAATCATTTGAATATTGAGGGTAACCTACATATTTCTTAAGAAATGTCGGTAAAGACCATTAACCAATTATACTCATTTCAAAATCAACAAAATAGTTATAAAAAAAAAACATACATACTAATTCACACTAAAGAGAAAACAATATGTTCTTTAAAGTTTTAATATACTTTTTAATTTACTCTCACAGCGATCACTCAAAGATACAGATGCCACTATATTACATACCCGTATTGCGTCCAGTATACCGCATCCAATACACGTATGTCCATTCACTCTCTTAGGCAGCAAATCTATAAGATCTTCCTCTCACTTGGTCGCTGGTAATCTGAACCAATGGTGACCTAATCCAAGACGAGGTACTGAACTCTACCAATCCAAGCCACGAATATAGCGGCAATACGTAACGAATGTAATGAGTGGCTGCTTGTACCAAAAGATGGTACCTGTCATTCTAAAAGAAAATGCCTATTGGGTTTATATGATAAATTATTATTCGTGAATCACAGATGAATAAAGTAGGTACTCCAAAACGAATAATTTAGATTCATTCTCTATAGCAGAGAAAGAATAGAGAAAGGACGCTTTGTCAGAAACGTCAGTTTATATTGAATAATTACCAAGGAATGTGATCACCTACTACCATTTTTCATATATTAGCGCAATTATGTATGTGACGTCACTATTATAAAAAAAGAACGATTGAACGGAATTCTTATAACTAATCATAATAACAACTTCTTGTTTCAATTTATAAATTTATCCAATTAATGAAACCTATTAATCGTTCGTTCGTGTGAAACTCTGTATTGTGGTGGTGGAAGCATTATGAGAATGTTGGAGCTAGTATTACATCCGGGTATTGAAAACGAGCATACTTACTACAAACATACTGCCTGATATATCCATCACTAGCACTGATCGTATGTCACGTGCTATTACCACTTTAAACAATGGCAACGTGTCTACGTCATCTAGTGGCGTATTCTCGGCAAAATCTGCATGTTCTCGCATGACCTCCCAGCTGCTTCGGTGACCGCATTGTTTGTTTTGTTGGTTGTTTGCAATTTGGTTGTGTCTGGCATTCGGGTCTTTATCGGGGTCGTCGTGACAGAAATCAACCACCTGAAGGTGATCATAATAACATCATTGTGTCATGTGACATTGTTGCAACTAAACACCACATACAGCATATGCATGAGTAATATAGTAATGTATTAATCTATAGCAATTTATCAACATCCATAATGCAATGCGTTACCTATGTCTTTCACAATAAACTCATTATAAAGCACTATATATGCAGATTCGTGGAAAAGTTGTGACTAATAGGTTAAAAATAATAAAATGCCCGATATCGATAATTTGATGATACTTGGTAATCTTGTATATATGCTTACAAAATCATAATTTGTCCGGCCAACAAGATAATATAATGTCCTGGAATGCGCAGAAATTGTTTTACTTGCATCGCACTGATAATATCAAAACAAAATATACACGGCAAGGTACAACAAATACATCTACTTTCATAGTACGCAACACGAACACTAGAGAATGCATTCACTACTACTACGTACATGTACATGCGAAGCAAGAGATTCTTAAGTTATAACAATTTTGGTATAGTGAAATGTGCGCAGATTGGTGACGAGAAAAAAACATATCTAGTATATATAAGTTTTGCAGTTCAGAACAGTATCAACTTAAAATATGTTAAACGATGAGGTCGCTATGAATGACTTAGCTTTGCTTATATGAACAAACTGGCTCAGCGATGAGCTCCAGCACACTCCGTTTATATGAAACACAGAAAATCTTTGTATCCACGAATGAAATGCACAGTGGGCCCTTATATCAGTAATTTATCAATATATTGATAGAACATTACACTGTAGCCATTATAGCGATACGCCCACACCACTTGACATGCATTCAAACTATGCATTTTAACTTTGATCCTGATTTTTGGGCCATGTCCACTTGACCAAAAGTTATTTTCATTTCACCTAGGACCTTGTCACAATAGTTCACAAACCCATACTTTGATATACTATGACGATAATTGGTAGCACTTCACTGCGTATGTTGAAGTACACATTTATAATAAAGATATCGACCACTTTTGACTCTACTCACCCCTTCCAAGTACTGCGCATATAAATAAGACGCCTTCGCTGGGTTATTCTCTTCAGATGGATAAAACAGGCATGTTGGTTCAGGCAGCACACCGGAATCGGGATCTGTGTTACATTTTGTCCATCCTTTGCTGCTATCAAGTGACACGCCGGTAACAGATTCCGAACACCGAGTCGGTTCTGTTCGGCCATTCTCGTCAAAGTAAAATGTTTCATCTGTGGAGGTGGGATATTCGTCGAATACACCCCATCTGAGATGACCCCACTCGTGAACAATAACTTTAGCTGTAAATAATGGAAAACGCAATATAAATCAAATTCTGTATGTGTAAATGCGTTTTATTCGTGTTATACCATATTGGCACAGTTTCTGTACTCTAATCGTCCATACCATATATCAGACTGTAATTTTCATATACCATTTACATTTCCTAATACAGCTTCGTGCAAGGGCGGTAGGAAAAAGTGCCTGGATTAATACAATACAATACTAAAGATAGTACATGAATATATTTTCTTGGATAAAATAAGTTATTAGTAACGTTCTAGAAATGATAAAACAGTACTACAAGCATTATCGTCAGTGGTGACATGTTTTGACTCACTCGATAAAAGTGCGACTGGGGTGTCATTTCACGTTTTTTTTTGTTTAGAAGTGGGTGGTCATTTATCAATGTTTTGGTTTAGAAGTGTGTAGCATTTATTTATTTTTTCACAGGTCCTTATATTCAAAGCCTGGTACTGGAAAAGGCTGAATAAAATGCGCTCACTGGTTGGGAACTTAGTTGTGAGCTGGGTGTTTTTTTTCGCTGAAAACAATTGTCTTTAGAAGTGGGTATATAAATAGAAAAAAAATGGTTTAGAAGTAAGTATGGTTTACAAGAGATGGGCTGCACACCCTTACCCACTTAATGTGGAAGTAGGCCCTCCCCCGCGGGGGTGGGGGGTGGGGGGGTGGGGTGGTATTGGTTTTGCGTCTTGCCCAGACTCTGAGTTTTAGAAAACGTACATCTAGCTCGTACAAGATATGGTCGCGCGCTTTTTGAAAACGTTTAAATGTAGGACGCTTTCACCCCGCTTTTCATAATAATAGACGGCGTTGACGCAAGGTGTGCCGGGAGTTGGTTCGAAACTTCGAACGTTTCGAAGTCAATCGTCGATTGGCACGTATTTTACGGTTATATTAAATCGTTTCAGGGGCCTGTTTACTAAATAATGATAACTGAAACTTAGAAATACTGCAAGGACAAACTGGCCCCAAAATTGCGCAAATTTGCAGTAAGTTTACGCTGCTAATGTCTGGTTCGGTAGGCGTTCTATAGCCGTTTTATAGCCGGTGGTGGTGCTATTCAATACTACTTATGCCGCTAATTCATAACTTACGGCTCGACTTATACAATGTGTTTCAAATCGAATGTGGAATTAAATAATATAAGCGAATGGTACAGCCAGAATTGTGTACATATATAAAGTACCTTCAGACATAGTTATAAATGTATTTTATTGTCATTATTCAAATAAATCGTCAACATTTAAAAATTGTCATTCGTCCTGGCTTATCTTACACTTTTGCCTACCGCCCTTGCTTCGTGTTCGGTATGGGTTCTATGCTATATAACGTGCGCAAATTACATTGTTCGTTTATACGACTTTGGCGTTTTGACTTTACAGTCTTAGATTTGGAAGATCAGAACACACATACCCGATTCACCCCAAAAGTAAGTACTGAAATCGACATCAGTAATCCACTTTGGAGTGAGATGAGTATACTCTCCAGGTTTTCCACAGGGAAGAGTTTGTTTAGTGTAGGGATTGTGCCACCATTCAGGATTCATCTCGTCCACCAGTATGTTGCCAAGGTCGTACGTTTCCCACGTTGCTGTCAAGTAGGCCGAGTTGTCGCTCCAGGTGCTTGGAACGAGGATGGTGACGTCATGGAAGTGTGTATACTGGCGACTAGCTTGATACATGTATTTCGATGCGTCTGTGAAGATATCCTGTAAAGAATCTCACCAATGATGAAAAGATCGCCGACACATGGTATAGTAATATGTGTATGGCTCGGCATATGTTTGGGAAGTCTTATAAACATTGAAATACTTTCAGCCACTGTGAACGTACATACTGCTATAAAAATATATAGTCTCACAGGCTAGTACCTATTTGTTTCAACACTCGATCATATATGTCAATTGTATCCTACGTGTTTTTTGTACTTGTGAACATTCGTACAGATTCTAAATCGATTGTGTTGAAAGTAGGTTGTAGATCCATGATAGTATAGTTTGAAATACTATAATTGTGTTATATGTAGGTTGTAGATCCATGATAGTATAGTTTGAATTACTATAATTGTGCTATATGTAGGTTGTAGATTCATGGTAGTATAATGTGAATTACTACAATTGTGTTATATGTAGGTTGTAGATCCATGGCATTATAAGGTATATTACAATAATTGTGTAGATTCATGGTAATATAATGTGAATTACTACAATTGTGTTATATGTAGGTTGTAGATTCATGGCATTATAAGGTATATTACAATAATTGTGTTATATGTAGGTTGTAGATCCATGATAGTATAGTTTGAATTACTACAATTGTGTTATATGTAGGTTGTAGATCCATGGCATTATAAGGTATATTACTATAATTGTGTTATATGTAGGTTGTAGATCCATGATAGTATAGTTTGAATTACTATAATTGTGTTGTATGTACATTGTAGGTCCATGGTAGTATAATGTGAATTACTACAATTGTGTTATATGTACGTTGTCGATCCTTGGCTTTATAAGGTATATTACTATAATTGTGTTATATGTAGGTTGTAGGTCCATGGTAGTATAATGTGAATTACTACAATTGCGTTATATATAGGTTGTAGATCCATGGCATTATATTGTGAATTACTACAATTGTGTTATATGTAGGTTGTAGATCCATGGTAATGTAATGTGAATTACTATAATTGTGTTATATGTAGGTTGTAGATTCATGGTAGTATAATGTGAATTACTATAATTGTGTTATATGTAAGTTGTAGATTCATGGCATTATAAGGTATATTACTATAATTGTGTAATATGTAGGTTGTAGGTCCATGGTAGTATAATGTGAATTACTAAAATTGTGTTATATGTAGGTTGTAGATTCATGGCATTATAAGGTATATTACTATAATTGTGTTATATGTAGGTTGTAGATCCATGATAGTATAGTTTGAATTACTATAATTGTGTTATATGTAGGTTGTAGATCCATGGCATTATAAGGTATATTACTATACTTGTGTTATATGTAGGTTGTAGGTCCAAGGTAATATAATGTGGATTACTACAATTGTGTTATATGTAGGTTGTAGATCCATTGCATTATAAGGTATATTACTACAATTGTGTTATATTTAGGTTGTAGACCCATGGCATTATAAGGTATATTACTATAATTGTGTTATATGTAGGTTGTAGATCCATGGTAGTATAATGTGAATTACTATAATTGTGTTATATGTAGGTTGTAGATCCATGGCACCATAATGTATATTACTATAATTGTGTTATATGTAGGTTGTAGATCCATGGCATTATAAGGTATATTACTATAATTGTGTTATATGTAGGTTGTAGATCCATGGTAGTATAATGTGAATTACTATAATTGTGTTATATGTAGGCTGTAGATCCATGGTAGTATAATGTGAATTACTACAGTTGTTATACGTCAACAAAATTGTCTACAATCTGCCACAAAAATGAACGATGAGAACATTGTCAGCTTAACGGTTATCGACCTCCTAGTGTATTATGTTATCTAGATAATAGATAGATGAACATTTAGTTTGAACAAGACACGTACTTTGAGTCGTTGTAATATCGTTAAATCCTCTGGTACCCGTTGGTGGATGGCTATGAGTAAACCTGTATAACCATTGCTTTCCAATGTTATGGGTGCACGTCTGTTAATTCCAAACACATGTCCACACAACAGTGTAGTAACTAATACGTATACTGACAGAGTGGCGCGTGAAAATTGGTGCCTTTTCATACTGCGTAATGACGTTTTTTTACTGACCGTGAGGGCTACGATTGAAACATACACGACGACATCTCTGCACGGATTGACTCTGATGACAACGTTGGTACTCCCGCACCCTAGACCCGGCATTGATATGCAAATATTGGAGTGCAACATTACCAGATTTGTAGATAATCACTGCGACTGCCAAATCGTGCTGGCCACTGCGTCTATTTAATTTTAACCCAAATAAACTGTTCATATCGAGACGATACGTCAAGTAAATTATATATAAATATTTTACTGTTCTACTGGACTAATGTTTGTCTTGTTTTTAAATGTCTGGTTTAAAATCGAAAATAATTGTCAATAGTGCCAATGGTATGTGTAGGCCCAGTCAAAGACATGATAGCAGCTCATCAACTTGTTAGCAAATATTTAACTAAATGTACAACTGACCCTCAATGTCACGTGATTACTCGCACATGGGAAAGGCTCTCGTATCATGACCTGATGCTCTGAACGTAGAAATGCAAGGCAGCAGTTTCTGGTGAGTATTTGAATGTTTTTCAATGGTTCTTACTACGCATACTTCACACATGTGAAGAATAAGAAGCAATAAGTTGAACAATTAACTCATTTCTAATTTTTCTCCATCGTTAGGAGAAGAGGATAATTGTTTGAGAAAAAAATGCGTCATTTTCTTTAACATCTCGCGATATCGTATGTATTTTGCTATTACTTCAATAATATAGCATCACCTATTTTCCATACCAGAAAACAAAGCCGCTTCGCACTGTCTGTCAGCAATATTTTGTTTTAATGTAAAATCCAGCGATTGAATTGACTAGCGTAAGTTGTTTGATCGACAATAACAGGTTATTATCGTACATACGACGGTTCGATGTCGGGAACTGGTGGCCGATTGAAATTAATTTTAAAAATAACAAACAAATGTGGGAAGAATGAAAAATTTCTATGTTGCCGATACTTAACAGGGATACGTTGCAGGAAAATCGCAATAATCTGATGTAAATTGTACATTATTTATAAAATACTATATTGATAGGGGGAATGAAAATAAAACGTTCACAGAATTCACAACGGACAAATACAAAACTGGCCATTGAAGTATAGGTTACAGTTCTACCAAATAATTGGGCAGTGTGTGTAATATGTACCAACTGTTTGTTTTCTGTTTTTTTTTTACTTATTATAGATTGAAACGTGATAAAAAGAAAAGTCTCTGCATCAACAATGTATATGCCTAACATATTCGTAGGTTATAAATGCTACCACAAACGCGTAGAATGTTTAGCTGCCGTGGACCTATAAATAACGTCAGTAACGTACAGACACCAAGCTGCCATGCGGTCATCTGCTACGGGTACAAATTAAATGAACTAGTCCATTATATCCGGTTTGCATAATTAATTACAAATCCGCTCACTACCATCTCCCAGTTTCACGTGAACAGAGATAGCAGAGCTGAAAGAAAATAACAGAGAACATTGTGTAACAGCGTGATTTCATTCACAATTATGATTTCATTTTTATTCTGTTGTCTTGCATTGGCCACGATATCCTGCATTGTGCCGAGCACACACGCATCGTGGCGAAGAGGACACGTTAAACTGGAAGAGAATGGATACACAGGGATTGTTATTGCGATCCACAGCAGTATACCAGAAAACGTCCAAATAATCGAACAACTACAGGTAAGTCAGCTAACGGAAGAGTATGGGAGGGGGGTACACTATGTGAAAATGCATACGGATGAGGGGCACCAGAACGAATAGTTTTTGCACAAGAATTATGCGATATAAGATAACATGCATCTCATTTTGAGTACTGTGTCGGCTATAATGATGCACTATAATCATATACCAGTATATATAATCCAGCGGTCGTTCATGTTCATGGGGTTACAAATCTTCATTCTAGTTAAACTATTCTCCGAGCAATCCAATCAATGTAGTTGCATTCAGAACTAATCGTATTTACCGCAGAGTACCTCAATAGCATTTAAACGATATTATTGATGTATGCCATTTTGTGAGAGCAGTAGAAATAAAAACAACTATCATTGACTAGAAAACAAGCACACGCATGATATCGCAATAAATAACAAATGACATTATGCACGGGGTAAGTGCGAAACCTCGTGGTAAGCCTCGGTCATATAAATTATAACTGCTCACTGACTTTATTCCAGTGAGATACTCCGGCATGACACCGATGAGGTTAACACACAGAGACAACAAACAGATCTATAATACAAGGACACAAATAAATGCATGCTGTTATTTTAGCGCCTATGACAACAACTGCTGCAAGCGCATTATTTGAACGACAATGCAATAGAAATATATCAAAATGATTTTAATGCGGGTCAACATCTGTTTCTGAAAAGCACTCATAATAATTCATAGGTGTACAAACATCGTCGTATAATAGTTGTGTATACGTGAAAACGTTCTGATCATTTGAAAAATATAAATAGCTTGGTACAGAAAAGCGTAGGACAGTATTGCCGATGTGCCATGTACAGTTGATTTTAATCAATGCTAGACATGTTCACCAGTTGACACCAATCAATGCAAGAATATTATTGGTCGTGTGCAGTTGATGCTAATAAATGCAATACTCAACCATTGTCGTAAATCTACACCTAAATTATTATTCAATTTTATCATGCTGGTGTCGCTGGATTTTTGAAATATGACCTCAAAGGTGTACTTTAGTGGGTTCATGAGGCCGTGACCTTCGCAGTTTAGTGCATGTCAAGCACGTTGAATTTATGTTGAGTACACTACTCGAATTTAAAAAAAAAAACAGTTTTGACATTGTCACCTTTCGAAAATAATTTATAGAAGAGTTGTTATTGAGAGTTATCTTTCCCAGTCCTTGAAAAGGTACTTAGAATGGCAATCGATATTTTAAGAATGAAATATATAAATGAAGGAAGTAGATAATTATATTACTACTACATCGCTGCCATGTTTTGAGTATAATCATCACAGCTCACTCGGTATTCATAAAACGCTAGCATCACACGCAATTACTCACAACAGATCATCGACAATAACGTGTACGTAAAACGTGCTTAAGTATGATGTGGGACGCCAATAATGTAGCTAATTCCATGGGTTAACAATGTTAGCGAAGCGCATAAGCATAAGTACATGTTTATACAGTATTAAGTTACAACTGAATACAAATATTTCCACTTGGTGAAATAAAAAATCCCCATGTTTATGCATTGCGTTACGAATAATCAAGGCATTATACAGCGACCCTTGACACGTTGAGGGACGGTGCCTTATAGTACCACATTATAATAAGAATACAATACGTACACTTGCTTCGTCTCGTATTGTAAAGCCGATTCTATGTTGATGCATCCTACTAGATTAGAGGTTAACACGTTAAGCACTTGGCCCACGTCCTAAAACATGTAAAAAAATATTGTTTGAAGAACATTTCCGTAAATCAAATCAAACTATATTTCACAGGATGGATGGGTTAATTAATTTACCAGCAAGCAATTGAGCGTTGGCTGTCGATAACTAAATAATGTCATTGATACTATATTTCATAAAACCGGGAAATCGATTGATTTTAGAGTAAACCCCGAGTTCAAGTTCGCAAATACATTTTAATAAAACCACACACTTATCATTTTACATTCCCTCTGAAATATTAATGAGGGAATGTTTAAGGAGCAAATATAATTAAGCATATACAACAAACATTACATCATACATTGCAATATTCTATCCAATCACATCAAAGACATATACCATTTCACTCTCTGTGATTAACTTAGTACAGCAATTACAATTTAGTCAGTGAGATATTTGGAATGCACTTCACTAAAGGCTTGTTATTTTATCGTAGCATGATTTCAACGAACTAACGCTCAATTGTAAGACGTAAAGATTTATCACGTCCTGCATATACTTTGTATGCTAATTCATTATGTGATTAATTAGTTTGATTAATGGATTTTTGTAATGTGTACAACGTGTTTTGGAAGATTAATGTCATTTCATATTAAACAACAATGATATTGATGTCAGTAATTTGGTAGGCATGTTTATTTGTATAGGTTGATATGATATGATATGATATGATATGATATGATATGATATGATATGATATGATATGATATGATATGATATTAATCCCTGAATGTCTCCCAGATTCAACTGGTAAGAAATGTGTAGACATGTTTACACACTGTATGTTTCGTATTTACAGGTTGCATTTACAGACGCATCAGATTTTCTATTTACCGCAACCAAGCGACGAGCATATTTCAAGGACATCAGTATACTAATACCAACAACATGGTCACACAAATCCGAATATAGCAATGCAACAAAAGAGTCTTACGAGAAGGCAAACATTATAGTAGACACGGCGAACGCAGTGCACGGACATACCCCATACGTCAAACGGATTGGTGGTTGTGGCAAGAAAGGAGAGTATTTACATCTAACGCCGACGTATTTACTCGATAGACAGCAGAGTCAACAAAATTGGGGACCTGTTGGTATGTGATGAAGTAAATAAATTATTGATCGTAAGATTTTTGTTGATAAAGAATATTATATTGCGTGCATGTTGTTACTTTTACGTAACAAAATACTATAAATTACGTGACATTATGATAGGGCAGTCGTATCAGACTGACTGCTTCGAGTTTTTATTGTTTCCGCTGTGAGGTTTTACAGGGAACGGGGCAAAGCTCGGAACTTTTCTGACCGAATGAAAAACGTGATCATGAGAATGAATAATTATGTTTAGGTCTACACTCGAAGAAACCAACCAAATAATATTACATAATATGTATATACTTACATTGTTTTTGCAAATATGTATTCTTTAGTTGATTTTACTTGTATGTTTCGCTTATGGTAGATCTTCGATCTTTCAACAGTATGAAATCGAGACAATTGTTCCACTCCGAATGTTCACGAATCTGTATCTACAACAAAATACAAATGAAAGGACAAGCGGAAAAATAAGTCGTGTTGCTCCAATAAGAAATGATACTGCCACTAATTATGTTTCACATTCAATGTCGTTAACAGGGCGATTGCTAGTCCATGAATGGGCTCACTTACATTGGGGAGTATTCGACGAATATCCAACGCACGATGACGACTACTTCTACGTCTCAGCCAATGGGAAAATAGAAGCCACAAGGTGTTCACTCCAAATCAAAGGATCATATAAACAAAGAGGATCGGTTAAAGATTGTGATTTCCGTAATATTACAAAACTGCAAAAAGCAGACTGTCATTTTATCCCAACTCTTTCGAATGCCTCGGACTCAGCATCGTTGATGTATATGCAGTTTTTGCCAACTGTGAGTTATTTAACATGTGATTTATTTCTATGTCCGTATTATATATATGTATATCACAGCCTATAAATATAAAGACTGTTTTAAACTGACTTGTGCACTTGACAAATCGAGAGTCTTTGTGAACGCTCTTGTAAATGCGAATAAGGGTTTCACATTTACACTTTTTCTTTTCAGATCACCGGTTTTTGTCACAATAACATCTCAGACCTTGCAGGATATCACAACCGAGAGGCACCAAATAAACAAAACAAACAGTGTATGGGTAAAAGTGTGTGGGAGATCATATTAAACTCGGAAGACTTCGAATACGGCACTAACTTACCAGTTGACCCGACCGTCACGATAGATACCACTCCTAGATTTCGTATAGTGCAAAGCAGAGAACGTCGATTGGTATTAGTATTAGATAGATCGGGAAGTATGGAGGTAATGTTTTACTGTACAGAACTGTCGGTGTTATCAATGTTTTTTTCTACATGTGCCGTTCATTAAAATTTAATATTACACAATTTACTTAATCTAATTGTGTCATTATTTTCAAGGGTGTGAGACTGACTAAATTACGACAAGCTGCTAGCGCTTTCATACGTAATACTATCTGTGAAGGCAGCTACCTTGGCATTGTAGAGTTCTCTGAGTTCGCGCAGGAATTGGCGCCCCTGACACTGGTTAATGGGAGCGATTCACGAGAAGGATTGATTCGGAGACTTCCCCATTCTGTCGGTGGGTGGACCAGCATTGGTGCAGGAATAATGAAAGGTATTGAGGTAAGTATTTTTGCGGGCAGATATAAGACAACAGTATGTTTTACACACGTATTTATTAATTCGGAATAGTGGCATGTTAATGTTTTTATCCCCTAATATCCGAGTCTATGCAAGTTCATTGATTCTTTCTTGAGTGTCGGTCTGCAAAACTCGTTCCACCGGTTTCAAGTTACATTACACGCTGTAGGTATCTTTCTGTCCTTATATCGCTCGCATTACTAGGTGTTATCAACTAATGGACAGAACCCAGAAGGCGGCTTGATAATGGCAATTAGTGACGGAGGCGAAAACCGCGCACCTACGCTATCAGAGGCATTGCAAGCAGTGGATGAGTCGGGTGTTACCATAGACACTATAGCATACAGTGAACAAGCTGACGAGAATCTGGCATCTCTGGCAGCTAGGACCGGTGGTATGTCTTTCTTTTACTCCGGGGATGACGATTCCACGGTACTGGAGGACGCCTTCGCCACCTCAATTACAAGTCGCGCTGCAGATTTCACGTCAGATGACACATACATAAAGGTATGCGACATACACTTGTTTCATACCGAACAATGAATTATGCGCTGTATTTTTTGTGCTGTACACATGTAATGCACACACACTGGCACAACTTATTTTCAATCAATTTTTTGTTATCAGTTATGGAGTGAAGTTGTTCATGTGTCAGCAAGAGGAGAAAACTATGGGCATCTTTACATCGACAGCACAGTTGGCATGGAAACTGAATTTTCGTTCACATACACAGAGAGCAGAGTAACAGTAGTTATAAAGCGACCAGACTCGTCTATAATCGATGCTACATACGATGGCTATAAAGTCGATGATGAATTCCACAGAGTCGTTGTCACACTCCGTGAACACTCAAGGGTAAGTTAGTACTAACACTAGTGTTAACTAGCATAACATGACGCACAAGTAACTAATTCCGATACTAGTAATTACTTGGGCTAACAAATATTATTGTCATGGGAAAATCAAAATCTGTCGATTTGTAAAACAATCTTGCTGGAGTCGACTTAATTTGATAGCGTACACGAAATAACTGATTCGTTCAATGAGTAATGAAATCAAACTTCGTTATCATCAAACTTCTAACATTTAGTTAATTTAAAGGCATACTTATTATGGAACTCTCAACATTCCGATAAAGACTTTCCGTTTTCGACATTGTAAAATTCTTTCGTTTTTATGCAGAAAAATACAGTATTTTTCTACCAGGTAAAATCATATTTATTAAAGTTATTGTTCATACGTCATGATGAGTTGATGAACTCACTGCATAGTTTGTAATTTCATTCAGCTTCTTTCAGTCATAATTCAAGACAAATGCAAGGCAAACATAAAGAAAATATAGCATTTTATCTTTATTTTGTAATATTCTTGTGTAATCGGTAATTATGAAAATGATTTATGGGTGTGTCACCAGTCTGAGATACACCTAAAAGTATATGAAAGTACATGTATTCCTTTGGCTGTATGAGCAATCACATATGTGATTGCTGTCCAAATTGTATTTAACTCGGTCGCTGCGGGCGCACTTCATTTCGTATGATGATCACGCAAGAAGGCGTAGTGATCTCACGGTAATAGATATATCCCACAATGCAACTTTAAGAGTTAGAGACAGCATGGAGGTAGAAAAGAGAAGGAGTGAGGACGCTATTGTTTCCGCTGGTTTCATGATGCTTTAGATTTATTTACTCAGTACACATTGTAATTATTTGGCAAACACGCTGTCAAGTGTCACCGTTAATCGGCTTACGTGTTTCGGCTGTATTCGGAAGCTTCACGAAGATTCTCGACGCACTGCGCATGCCCAAACAGATAACAATAATACAAAATGCAGTGAAAGACGTACGCTGAGTGTACTCAATGCCCCAAATCTATTGCAACAAAAGGCGCGATTTTCAACATCTGCACAGTTCTGCAAACTGATGAAAAACGCCCTGTCAAAACATTTTGTTATAAACTTATCATGTATCTTCAAATTTCACTGCGGAAATTTGCGGGATTCTTTTAATCAATGTCCAAAGTTGGACGACGAAAAGAAGTAATCACACATCTTGGAAGCGTCCGTATGCAGAATTTCCGGTACCTACAGTGTGAAATGACCTTTGTGATCCGTTAAAAGGTCATTGCGCATGCACAATTCTTTTAATTATGGTTTGCGCATTCAATTTTATAGACGATGTTTATACGGAATTTATTTTTTTCAGTTCTACTCTCGTTTTCGTGTGTAAATAAGCGGCTATCATCATTTAGGTAAAACGACTTCTAAACAGAAACAATAAGTGGCCTAACGGATGTTTATAAGATTAACATGGGCTTAAAGTGCCCGTGAAATGGCTGCTATTTTCACGCCTAAAATTATCCATTGATACATAAATATTATTATTTTTTAATGTTTCTAAGCATGAATTATTTTTTTAAGTGAAAAAATGTGTTTTAAACTCAATCTGCGGCAACTTTATTTTTGTGTATTTTAAAACGAGGCTCCTCATTAGTTTCTTATTTGCATACAGAAATTCCCCTTGTGACGTCAGAAGGGGAAATCGCATGGCAGCTTG